CTCCGCCCACCTCCTCCCCCCTCGTCCACCTCCTCTCCCACCGCCGGCGAGAACCACGGCGCGTTTCTGGACGAGTATGGGGTGGAGGACTTCACGCCTCCCCCGGCTCCCCACGCCGATGCGGCCGCGACGAAGTCCCGCGAGGCGTCGCCGGGGTTCGCTGAGATCACTGTCTCCGAGCCTAGGAAGCACGCGGAGCCCGCGACTGGAGCCGTTGGCGTCATTCCAGGCTCGGCCAGCTACGTCTCCTACCTCATCGCCACTCGGGTGGCCGACGGCGGCGAGTTCCGCGTGCGCCGGCGCTTCCGCGACGTCGTGGCGCTCGCCGACCGCCTCGCGGAGACACACCGCGGCCTCTTCGTGCCGGCAAGGCCCGACAAGAGCATCGTCGAGGGGCAGGTCATGCAGCGGCACGACTTCGTGAACCAGCGGTGCGTCACGATCCAGCGCTACCTCCGCCGCCTCGCCGCGCACCCCGTTGTCGGCCGCAGCCCCGTCCTCCACGCCTTCCTCACCGAGCCTAGCGGTATCCCCACTTCGGACGGTGAGTCCCCCAGGTGGAGCCCTGCGATGAGTGCTGCCACGTCCATGGCTGCTGCCGCTCCAGTCACGCCTACGAAGAGTGGGAGGGACTTTTTTGGGGTGTTCAAGGACCTGAAGCAGACAGTAACCAATGGGTGGGTGGCAGTAAGGCCACCTCCAGTGGAGGAAGAGATCGACACAAAGTACCTTGTGCACAAGGCCAAGCTTGAGGACTTGGAGAAACATCTGGTGACAGCATCTCAGCAGGTAACTGCATATTTGCAAAGGTTTAATTTGCATGCTGTAGACTCTGTCTCTTGTTGTCATTACTCATTACAAATACGTATTTGGTACCATTGTTGTTCTATAGGCACTAGGCAGAAAGAAAAAACAGGATAAATGGATAAGGTGATTAACTTCTGAGTGCTTGCTTGGAGAAGCCCGTACACTTGCATTTTGCTACCTGCAGAAAGATACATTTTATGCATCATAAGTTTTCTGTACTGATATACTAGTGTAAAGTAAACTAGCTAATCTACTACCATGGCATCATTTGTAGGCAGAGGCATTTGTTAAAGCTTATGACGATCTTAGAGCAACGACAGGTCTCTTGGGAATGTCATTCATCAAACTGGCTAAGTTTGAAAAGGAGCAGGCTACTAGTAGTTCTCAGAAAAGACGAGCTGCTGACATCAGTAATTTTGCCAGTGCTGTTGTTAGAGTTAGCAGATCACAGGCAAAACTAAATGCTGAAATTGTAAAACATCTGGTAAGTGGGCTGACTTGAGTAAAGGAATATTTGCTTGGACATATGCTTTTAGGATTATTTTTTTCCTTTTTATTTTGACATCATCTATGATTTTGCAGGGCATTATCCATGAGTACATGGAGACAATGGCTTCTGTTCATAATGCTTTTACTGCTCGTTCCAATGCTTTGCTTCGTGTGCAAAATTTGTCAGCAGAACTATATTTCTTGCATACCCGGGCGGGAAAACTTGAATCTGTATCATCGAGAGGAATGGATCAGGAAAGATCAAGGTATCAGAAGATAGAAGAACTGAAAGAAACAGTAAGAGCTACAGAAGATGCAAAAGCACATGCACTTAAAGAATTGGAACTTATCAAGGTAATTCATCAAAACTTATGAAACAAAGAAGGTGTACATTATGTGTGACAATTTCAACTGCAATATTGTTATTACTCATTATTCAAACAGACCAACATTATTATCTATATTCTGGAAGGATACCAAAAATGTGTTCATAGATTATTCAGTTTGCAGTACATTAAGGATATAATGTTTAGGTTATTTTGTAACATGATGCCTAACCCTAGCTAATGCTATATATTTGGATAATCCTCTGAAGCAGCCTGATTAAATCTATTTGTCATAATTGTTTGTGCTATGGAATTCTCATGAGCCAACACTTCTTTTGACCATGTCCAGTTAACATTTTTCCAAGTTAAGCTCACTGAAGCCAGAATGAACGAGATAGCAGCTGACAAGTTGCTAAGCAGCCAAGAGTCCAGTTTGTCTGATTCTAGCTATTGTCATGTTTGAGCTGTGGTGGAAGTATCAAGAATTTTAGAGTACATGCATTGTTAATGAATTTTCTGTTTATCTATTCACCTTAACATTTTAAAACACGTCCTACAGCAATTCAAATGCTAGGTTATGCTATCCTGCTGACAAGATTCCTTTAAGAAAAACCATGTAGGCACAATTTTTTTTTTATAAGTGCTTTCATTAAATTATTAGAATTTCTAGAGATTTCTATTCAACCCTGAGAGTAAGGTTGCATCCATTTCAGGTGATACAAAAATACTGGTATGCATTGCACCATCAGCATTTATGTTTCAACTCATAGTCAAACTCACTGTTAGTTTTGAATCATAGATACAACTTTCGCAAGTACTTGGGAGTTGGAACAAGGTTCCACTGTTGAATTTTAAATCCCAAATGTTTGCATTGCAGTTCAACATGGAGTATTTATGGCGTTTCTTAGCCTTAGATAGGAGTGCTTGGAAAACAGCTATTCGCGTGCCTGAACCTTGATTGTTTCTGCTGGGTTTCAACTCTAGCCTACCCCAACTTGTTTGGGACTTAAAGGCTTTGTTGTTGTTGTTGTTGTTGTTGTTGTTTTTTATTTTATTTTATTTTATGGTAATGCAGGAAAACAACATGAATGAAATTAAAAGATTTAACAAGGAAAGGCGCCAGGATTTGGTGGAGATGCTGAAAGGTTTTGTATCGGATCAGGTAGAAGCTCTCAACTTCTTACATGGTTTATGTCTTGGGTTGTTGTTCAGTTTGCAGTACATTTTTAGTTCTTTAACAAAAAGAAAAGATTAATTTAATCAGTTCAATAATCAATCTACTGTATTGTTTACTGTAGACCTATCTTTGTACCTCCATGTTTTTTAACAGTAGTATTTGCCTGCTATTTGAACAAAAGGAAAAACATGAGTGCTAAATGCTAGGTCTGTTGTGCATTTTTAGCTCTTTATAAAAGGCAGAGCTGCTTCCACTGCTCCTGAAAAAGATAAGGTCATGTGAATTTTGTTTTATTATATGTGTTGTGCGGTGCGTGTGTCCATGTGTGTATTGGAGGGAACAGCCAGGCTGCAGAACTAGAAACCTTCAAATGCAGTCTCAACTTAGCTGATATGCTGGAAAAGCTGTGGAGTTAAGACTTGTGCGACCATTTCAATTACCTAGATCTAGTGTTCATCTGTACATTGGTAGACAACATCTTGGTTCTAATCGGTCTCCTGAACACAATCATTACCAATGAAATGTATTGCCCTTATTTTACCTCAAAACGATATGCATTATGACCATTTTAATGCAAACCATTTCGATTGAGAAGAAACGAAATTTCCGAAAGTTAACATCAGACAGTTTAGCTGCACTTTATGAAAATTTTCTGTAATATAGGAGTGCACAATGTACTGTTCAGAGACAGTGCCTTTGCTATCTTGTATCTCCTTTTTGGGTGCAAAACGCCCACCTAAACAAATAGCATCATCGATGCATGTGAAGTTACTCAATCTAACCATGGAATGATGGAAGTTATTGAAATTTGGATCTCAGATTTTTTGTTTTCTGTTGCTATGTTCAGGCCACATACTCGGATCATTTTGCTAGCATATGGACAAAGGTAGCAGAAGAAACAAAAGGATATGCAAAAAGCAGCAGTTGAAGTAGGATGTACATATACAGGTGAATTTGAGCTGTTATTGTGCAGCGTGAACATAGCTACACCATTGAGAATCTTGCGCGACCACACTCTCCATCCCCGAAGGGACACATTTCTATGGATTTTTCTGGGTATTGGTATCTCCAGTTGTGTACCTGAAAATCCTCAGAAAAATATAGTATTACCATTTTCCGCGGTTCTTTTTTCTCAGCCTGGGCTTCATGTGAGTTTTTCCCTGTGCATTTACATGGAATCAGTTGGGTGAATTCCCTACCTTCCGAGATAACGAGATACATAAATGAGATCTCTCTCTTTTTTTTTCCTTCATGAGCTGTTGCACACTTGTGCTTACATACTTGTATCTCTCTCTCTCTTGTTGTTCTTTTTTTACTTTACATATCCTCATATGTTTTCTTTTACCCATTTTTTAGGAAATTTAGCTATTGTTCTGTAAAATCATTGTTTTCCAAATCGGCCTGAAAGATCTTGTTGACGGGCCTGAACTCAAATAGTCACACGAGTGACGAGTCAATAGTATGGTGGCACGGCGGTGGGTCTCCGAAATCCGAATCGCGGTACACCAAGTCACCAACTGAGGGCCACGTCTATCTAAGAAAGGTAAGCCACTCATCTTGCAAAATGCTGACTGTACATGAACGTGAGCTAGTGGTTGCTGTGGCACCTTGGTGTCCCTTTTGGGGCCATCGGCTTCAACATCACTGCTTATCCTCTACACGTAGGCGTTCTGTTCCGTTTCGGGCCTGTAACTTCTGATCCTTCATCCGAAGATTTCTTTCTCGCTTCCTTGCTTTCCGAGCACATAGGCTCCAAAGCCCACCACAAATGGAAAGAACAACACAGACCCCGAATACTGATTGCCGCTCCAGCTCTGCCATGAAAAGTCGCCACGATTTGCGCCACAAGAAATCCACCCAAAAATCTATCCCTGTGAGGCTGTGCTGCTTGCTGGCGCCGCCGAGCAGCGCGCAGAGTTTCGTTGCCGGTGAAAAAAAATCCAATTGGAACTGGGGTCGCGCATTGCTCTTTGTCCTCAGCGACAGAAACAAACTTGATACGTAACAAACTTGACAGAAACATGCTTCAAAGTTCAAACCACTACTTAGGTTCAAAACAACCGAGATTTCGAAGAGTCTATTACCAACCACGGAACCACCACAAGCTGCTCCGTGTTCTCTGAGCCCTCCATTTCACCCCCATCACCGGGCACCGGCGCGGGCGCGCCTCGCCGCCCCCGCCGCCGTCTCAACGCACGAGGATGCTGCCGCACGCGCCATCCCGAACCCCGGGGGCCTTCAGGTTCAAACCGCAACTCCCCACCAAGCCGCCGCTCCTCACCTCTTCCTCTACCCCCACCCCCGCGGCCGCCTCCACGCGCGGCCGCCTCTGCGCCGCCACACGCCGGGACCTCCTCGTCCTCGTCCCCTCGCTAGTCGCGGCGTCCACCGTCCTCCAGTCCCTTCCCCTCGCCGCCTCCGCCGCGGCAGGCGATGACAAGCCGGCCCCACCGCCGCCGGCGCCAGCGCAGGCGGCCCCCGCCGCTCCGGCCTCGCCTCCACCTCCAGCGGAGGAGCCGGCGCTGTCGAGGGTCTACGACGCCACGGTCATCGGGGAGCCCCAGGCCGTGGGGAAGGACGCGCGGCGGAGGGTGTGGGAGAAGCTGATGGCGGCCCGGGTGGTGTACCTGGGCGAGGCCGAGCTCGTGCCCGACCGCGACGACAGGGTGCTCGAGCTCGAGATCGTCAGGAAGCTCGCGGCCGCCTGCGCCGAGGGCGGGAGGAGCATCTCCCTCGCGCTCGAGGCCTTTCCCTGCGACCTCCAGGAGCAGCTCAACCAGTTCATGGATGGCAGGTAGTTGCAGTTTGTGTTAACACAACGAATCTTACCACTTTGCTAGTTGTGAGTTGTGACAAGTATAGTTGAGTAACACTACATATTGAATTCCTCGCTGTGATGTTGCAGTTGCAAGTTTGATTTCCATAGATGTAGAGAAGTCGGGAAATGGCTTATGGCAAGAGGCAAAACCGTGGCTCTGCTAGGATAACTAAAAATGTCTTCTAAGCTGTATATATAAAACTGGTAGTTTGACCCTGCTCCCAATAAACTGCTAAGTTCCATCCTCGAGGGTTTGCTATAATTATCTGTATCTACTAGACTACTACTATTTTGAGTTTTCGACCATATAGGTTCCACGCAGGTTATGCTCAACCAAAGTCCTATAATGTTGGTTTTACCTTTTGCCTATATTTGTTCAATCTTTGGTGGAGAAAGCCTTCCAATACTTCATGTGGATGAACTTGTAACAATTCTTTGCATTATGCAGAATTGATGGCAATAGCTTAAGACTTTATACATCTCACTGGGCACCAGAGCGATGGCAGGAGTATGAACCACTTTTGAATTACTGCCATGATAATGGAATAAAGCTTGTTGCCTGTGGAACTCCACTTGAGGTAATTAGTAATTGATTCTCACATGTGATTCAAGTATATTGGAGTCATAAGCAATCTTGTTCGTGAAGGGCGGGCCTGGTGCAAGCGGTAGAGTCTTACCGCCTGTGACCGGAAGGTCCCGGGTTCGAGTCGCGGTCTCCTCGCATTGCACAGGCGAGGGTAAGGCTTGCCACTAACACCCTTCCCCAGACCCCGCACAGAGCGGGAGCTCTCTGCACTGGGTACGCCCTTTTTTTTAAGCAATCTTGTTCGTTTATACTTTTGAATTTCAGACTCGTAACATTTTAAAATTGTACTAATTTAAAATTGATTTGCATTTTCAAACGGGAAAGGGAAAGCTTTTTTTTTGTACCATGTATTGTAATGTCTTTGCCTGCTTAAGCACCTCTGCTACATGCTTTTTCATCCCTTCCTAGTAAATCTCTGATATGAAACTTATCTGATATGTAAATGTAATATGTAAGCTTAGCTTACCCTAAATTACTGTGTGAAAATTATCTAGTGCTTTTTCTTGACTAGGTGGTAAGAACTGTGCAAGCGGAAGGAATTAGAGGCCTTTCAAAAGCTCAAAGAAAGCTTTATGCTCCTCCAGCTGGCTCAGGCTTCATTTCTGGTTTTACATCCATCTCAGGCCGATCATTGATAGACAAAATTTCATCAACTCGTGGTTTCCCTTTTGGCCCAAGCTCATATTTATCAGCACAGGCAAGAGTAGTTGATGATTATACCATGTCCCAGACAATAATGAAAGAAATTACTAATGGAGATCCTTCAGGGATGCTTCTTGTTGTAACTGGTGCGAGTCATGTTATGTATGGACCACGAGGAATTGGTGTTCCTGCTAGGATATCTAAAAAGATGCAAAAGAAAAAACAAGTTGTGGTACTCCTTGATCCTGAGAGACAAAGTATAAGGAGAGAAGGTGAAATCCCTGTAGCTGATTTCTTATGGTACTCTGCTGCCAAGCCATGCAGTCGGAATTGCTTTGATCGTGCTGAAATTGCTAGAGTTATGAATGCTGCTGGCAGGAGACGTGAAGCTTTACCTCAGGTTATCACTCACTCTTTCTCAGTATAAGTTGAGTGCCCTTGATGCTATATGTATTACCTGCTTCCTGTAACATCTTGGGAGTAGTTATTAATCTAAAGGCAAATGTAATCAGTACTGATTGTTATACATGAACTGTAGAACAAGAAAATATTGTTATGAACTTATGATAACTCCTTTTCAAGTCTATCTTGCTATGATAAGTACTCATATTTTCTTACAATAGAGCTGACTGAACTTCCTGTATTTCTATGACAGGATCTTCAGAAAGGAATAGATCTTGGTGTAGTTTCTCCTGAGATATTGCAGAACTTTTTTGACCTTGAGAAATACCCTGTTATGGCGGAACTGATTCACCGTTTCCAAGTAAGCAGCTCCTGTAGTCTTTATCTCTCACTCTTTCCCCTTTTAGAAATGCCAATTAAAGATGCCGCTTAGTATTTTAGGTTGGAAGACATGGTTAAATTGTTGAAACTTAAAGCTGGCCATTTTCTGCAGGGTTTCCGTGAAAGGTTGCTAGCAGATCCCAAGTTTCTGCATAGATTAGCTATTGAAGAGGGTATATCAATAACTACCACTCTTCTAGCACAATATGAAAAACGAAAAGGACGTTTTTTCGAAGAGATCGACTATGTTCTCACTGATACAATTAGGGGTTCTGTTGTTGACTTCTTTACAGTGTGGCTTCCTGCACCTACAATTTCACTCTTATCTTTTGCCGACGATGGCTCTGGTGAGAGTGTGGAGCTTTTGAAAGGAATTTTAGGATCAGTGCCAGATAATGCATTTCAAAAGGGTATTGTTGGGCAGAATTGGAACATTAACCAGAGGTTTGCATCGGTGCTTATGGGTGGTCTAAAACTTGCTGGCGTTGGATTCATTTCTAGTATTGGAGCTGGAGTTGCTTCAGATGTCTTATATGGTGCCCGTCAGATTCTTAAACCTTCTGCAAGTATGGAAGTGGGGCGCAAAAGAACTCCGATCTGGAAAGCAGCAACTGTTTATAGTTGCTTCCTTGGAACATCAGCAAACCTGCGATATCAGGTAGTTTGCCAAGAGCATCTTTCTGTTTACTCAAGTGATGTTAGTTATGAAAAGCTATTTTGTCGGTGGTTGCATATATTAGGACATGTGTCAGTGATGGTTAAAATATGTTGTAATGTTACATGCTGAGAATGGGAGTTGGTAACATCAAAATTAGGCCTTGCAACTGCAGCTCATCTGCAATCAGTAACTCACTGATGCATTAGATTATCCAAGTAAATGCATCTTATAATTTCCTCTATTTTTCGCAACAGTGTTAACCTTTTCCAATTAACATGTTTCAGGTCATAGCTGGTCTGATTGAGCATCGGCTAGGAGAGGATCTGATGGCCTACTATAACCAGCCACTTCTTGCTAACCTGGTGTCCTTTGTTTCAAGGACAGTTAACTCATACTGGGGAACACAGGTTTACCACTTTTGCACTTTACATTAACCCTATAATGTTTTGGTATTTATTAAATTGCACTTTTGAATCTGGCTGAACACCAAAAACAAGTGTTCCCCTCTTTCTTCAAACAAGAAACTTTACAGTCTCTTTCTTATTTTAGCATAGGACCAATGATGTTAGAATAAGGCATGCTATTGAGCAACCCTCCAATTCCAATTGATTGGTTTTTCAGTTTGTAGGCATAGTTAGGAGGCAACTCAGTCTGCTAGGCACTAGCATTGGACTCTGGAACTGATTGCTTTAATTCTGGCATTTTTATTTTGCCTGTTCAACTTTGCTACATGAACTTCAGTATATATGATCTTAGGCTGGTCCTGATCTAATTGAGATAAAAGGAACCATCAGTACTCATCACATTTTGTTGTTGCTTCTTGAATGGGCTTTTCTTTTATTGATAAAATTCTATTGAATACCTTTGGAAGGAAATTAAAACCTTACAATAGAAGGATTTGATGGAAGTCTGTGATTTACTCATGGTAGTATTTGCACTACATCTCGCTGTACTGACACCATGATTCTTGCAGCAATGGATCGATCTTGCACGAGCTACAGGCGTGCAAAGTACTAAGAAAGAGCTGCCTTCTCCTGAGGTTTCGAGTGCATCTGAAATGCCACTGCTAGAATGTGGCACGACAGAAGTACAGAACGTGGACGACAGCAGTAATAACCAACCAAATGACTTGACATAGTCATCACGCAGTGACCTAATTTGTTGTGGCCATACAAACAAAACACAGAGCAGCTTCCTTCCATGACACACCATACACGATACAACTGTACATGCATATAAACGAGATGTCTTCTTAGAGCCAGATTGAAGCTTAGCCATCGCGTCATGTGGAGAGACAAATCTGAAATTCTGAAGAGCAAAGCTTTGAAGACTTTCACATTGTTATGATCAGAAAGCCGTTTTTACACCCTCACCGAATACCGTTTGTACATTCACAGAGGAGACGATCGAAGAATTTTTTTTGAATCCTGTACAGCATTTTACAGCATTGTTATATGGCAAGGATCAGGAATTGTGATACACCTTGTATGCACTTGAATCCAGAGTGCTTGACGGTCTTATGTTTCCTGTGGTACTGCTATGGTGTGATCAAACTAGTCCCTATGTGAACTACCAAACAGCAGGCTAACTGTTTTCACCATACCTGTTTGCTTCAACTTATCAATCATGATATAGTATTTTTCTCTCACAACAAAACAACATCAGCTAGCTTATCAGCCGAACATGTCCTGTTCGCTTGGCTGATAAGCTATGGCTGAAAGTACCGTTGGCTGATTTATTGTGAGACAAAAATACTGTTTGTTGGCTGAAAAAGTACGGCTTATAAGACAGGCGAACGGGGCTGAGAATTTTATGCCTGCCAGGAAGTCAAAATCCAACGCCTGAGAATTTTATGCCTGCCAGGCAAAAGTCTACATAACCCCCTGATGCTCCCATGATTCCACAGCACCCATGCTCCATGCACACCGCCGCATGCGCTGCTGCTGTCATCTTCACGGACAAGCTAAGTCGTTCATGGCCATCATCGTCATGGTGGCCCTCAACGTGGCGTGACGCCCATGGTCGGGATGGGCATCGTGTTGTGGGCGCTCCGAAGCGTGCAGTGGCGCTGGCGCCTCGTGTGGCTTCAGCACCACGACCCGTCCACGGATCTGCGCCTCGTCTTGGGGCTGCACGGCCCGCAGTATGTGCCGACGCTGGCCTACCTGATGGAGGCGCGGCGCTGGAGGCGGTGAGCTCGCCATGTACGCCCCGCGTGGACATGGTGCTGATGACGGACCAGACAGCGGCGGCCATCGTCAATCTGGGGCTTCGACGGCGTCACCGTGGTGGACGAGGAGGTGGCGGAGATGCGCACGCTGATCGGCGAGGCGCTGGATGCGTACCAGGCGCAGTGCGGCGGCAGCGCCAAGGTCAAGGTGCAGCTTCTGCTGGCACTGTTGTCGTTCCCGTGTAAGCGCTGCTAGCGCCGGCAAGCAACGCGTGCATCCTGAAGACGCGCTCCAGCGCGGGCTGCACAAGCACGCGTACACTACATATGCAAAGGAAGCATTGTACGTATATACAAGCACGTCAGAATTAAATCTGACAGGCATGCATGGTGACATGTGCTGATGTGCATCTACGCGGAGGATGCGATGGCGACGCTGGTGCTGCTCCCCTTCCACAGGGCGCAGCGGCTGGACGTCACCAATTCACCAAGGACCCGGCCACTTCGGCTTTCGGGTCGTCACGAGAAGGTGTTGCAGCTGGCGCCATGCTCGGTGGGCGTCATGGTGGACCAAGGCATTGGGAAGCATGCCTCCGCCGTCGTCAGCTCCGACTCCCAGTCCCAGCTAGCAGACCCAGGCGGTGGCCGTGGCCGTGGTGTTCATCAGCGGCTCGGACGACCGCGACCAGCCGGAGTCGGTGCAACCGCTTGGTGCGACGACGGTGCTTGCCCTGTTGCCACCGCCTGGGGCCAGCACCACCACAGCTGCCGCAACGGCTGATCCACCGAATAAATGCCCACAGCCGTCACCTGTCGCAGCCCGCCACCCCTGGCTGCAGCCGCTGCCGCAGGCAAGATGCGCCGTGGCCGCTCGGTGCTCCGTCGCCGCCGCCCTCTCGCAGCCTGCCCAGAAACGTAGAACTGGGGGATTTTTCGCACGCTGCCACAACACCTAGAGGCCACGTCATCAAAGATAGACAACATGTAGTGCCATATGTGTAAAACCACTTAGCAAAACCACTCAGGAGGCTATTTGTCTGATTTTACAAAGTTTAATGTGTACAATACTTGATTTTATAATTTAGGGGTTTGTATAGACCACCCTCGGTACGTAAGGTTATGTAAACTTTTTCCTTACCAAGCCACGTGCATCCCTTATCTAGACTAGAGAGGACCGTGGTCCGTGGGAAGAATCCATGGCAGAACAGAAGAGATATATTGGTTCGTTCAGAATCATCAGATCGCTCTATCTAGACTCAAAAGTCTGAAACATGAAGGACAATGCTCCTGACGAATGGGCATCTATCACCTCGTGCACAGGTTCTACCTGTTCCTTCAAATACAGCGCAGGGATCCATCAGGCCGTCACGCTCGTGCAGTGCAACCAAACCAAACCAAACCAAGGCACCATGCGGTAGCCTTGTGCCGTTGTCGCACGAATCCAGTTCCCGAGTCTCATCAACCATCCAACGGAGCACTGGTACGTTTTCTTTATCATCACAGGAACCTAAATATGCTGTGCTGCCTCACACTCTCACGGACGAAGCCCTTTTGGCTTGGACCACTGAAAAAACATATCCAAAGCCCAACAGTAACAGCAGATATGATGTGACAGAACCAGAGATCCAGGCACCGTGCGCTGCCAAAGTGCCCAAGCGTATCAAAAGGACGGGGCCTTATCGCTTCAGCGGAAAATGGGAAAGAACTATGCATAAACCATAAAGCATCCGTTTTGCTACTATTTAGCCCTTGTTTAGTTGGACCTTAAAATCCAAAAAAGTTCTTCTGATGTCATCGCATCGAATGTTTTGCGGCTCATGTATAGAAGCATTAAATGTGAGCGAAAAAAAAAAAACTAATCGCATGCAGTTTGGTGGGAAATTACGGCATCGAACGTTTTAAGCCTAATTAGTCAATGTTATATTTGCCAAATAAAAACGAAGTGCTCAGAAGGTCTTCTGAAAAATCCAAATTTCGCGAACTGAACAAGGGCTTATATTATTACTCCCTCCTGTCCTCTGTACAGGCTAATTCCAGAAACCAAGATGGGTATTAACTCCGAGTAACAGCCGCGCCGTCCGGGAAGTCTATCGGTCAGCCGATACGAGTTGGCGCCTCCGTATTTGTGTTTCCCTCCGTATTTTTCTCAACCGAAAAGGAGTTGGCGCTATCTTCTCGCTCGAGCAGATGAAAAACCAAAATGAAATCTGCGCCCTTTTAGGGCCGGTTCGTTTGAACTTATCAGTCGGTTTATCAGCTAGAATCTACAGTATTTTTTTCTTACAGCAAAACAGCTTCAGCCGGCTTATCAGCCGGTTTTAATACCAGAAAGGAGGAGCGAGAGAGAAAACACTTCGTATATGGGACGCACACATGCAACGCTGGGACGCACGCATGCAGCGCTTCGTTGCCGAGAACGCTTTGTTTAACCGGCTCCGTAATTAATTAACTCTCGATATCCCTAGTCCGCCAGATATTACGGCCAAACAAAAAAACGGGCGTGCGCCTGATATAGAGGATCGGAGGGAGTATATCCAGATGTATAGCAAAATAGATGTACTAAAAAAAGTTAAAGCGATTTATAATTTGAAACGGATGAAGCAGTGTAATTCTCGCTTTCTTTATAAGCATCTCAAGTTTAATAAATATATATAAATTGTGCTATATATAATATAAATAAGTGTTATTAGATTGATTATGAAATATATTTTTATAATAAACATATAAATCTATATAGTTGCTTTAACAAAAAATTGGCAAGTTCAGAATTCAGTTTTTTTTACGATACTGTAGCATAATTTTTATATATAGGAGTACTCCGTAGGCTAGATGCTTCGAATCCATCACATGATATGCCCACGGCCGCCAGCTAGAGAGTGGCAGAGACGCCGAGACGGGGTCAAAACTCCACTGTGAGTACAGCACCGTACTGTACAGTGTACAGTACACTACAGTACACTGCAGCGCGTGAGTACAGCCATAAGACACTGACGCCTCACATCTTGCCAGGTTGGTTTGCCTGCCGCTGCCACATGTGGCCGCGGCAGCCGAGGCCAGTCCCCGAGCAGGAGCAGCTCTCTCCGCGCGACGCGGGCGGAGATAGTGCCTGCCTCCCTGGCGCAAAAGACGGATTCGATGGAGTATTTTGATAGCGGATTAGCGGAAACGATGGATGGATTTGATCTGTATACTGTAGTACTCCTATCCTGATGACGAAGACGACGAGGCGGTCGGTGCCCGTACGGCGGCGGTTGGGTGCACCTCCGAGTCCGAGCCCGCACGAAGCTTCGTCGCGGCTTCCTCTTCCAGCTCCTCACCGGTCACCGGCATGGGCGGGTGGCGGCATCTCCAGTCCAGCTATTTGGAGCTGCCGCCTGCACGTGGAGACGGCGCACTGCTCGCCGTGGGTCCATCTGTCACTCGCCTGTGCGCGCCGGCCTGACGGATGGACAGGTAGCATGTAGCAAGGCGGGCAAATGACGACTCGGTCACGGCCTCGCCGTGTTTAGGTTTGCACGCGCCGATCGCTTACCTGTGGATTCCCCGGCTGCCAACTGCGCTGCGCGTTGATAGCAGCATCTATCGAAACCAAAGCCATAGCTAGGATTTATCGGATCACGATCATCTTAGGATCATCTTAAATGTTTGACCAAATTATAGAGTAGTACATATATATTATCATATTTTTTGTGCATCTTACTTAACTTCAACTATGAACTAAATTTTAGGATAATTCATGGTCTATAGTGCCACCTGGCTGGCTCCGTCTATAATCAAATAGAAAATTCTTACAACCACCAAACTTCTACTGGAGTGGTGGACTGAGAAACCGACTCACCACGAGAGGATCTCCTGTTGTCCATGGGAATGCCATACACATTCCCTCATTAATATACATTACCTTCCCTCTTCCTTGTGTCATACCTATACCGGCGCTACCATATTTGGCATTCACCCATGGATCATCACAAACAACCTGGTCCTACACAGTACTAAGGAAAGGCTATAGAATGTAGCACCGGTATAGATAGGATATATTTTTTTTACAACAAACGGCTTTTATTAGTAGCAACGATGGAGTGAGCTTTGTGAAAGCTGAGAAAGATTAAAGCTCTATCTGGATGAGCTGTAGCTTTTCCAAAAGCAACTCCTGGAAAGCTTTTGAGAAAGCTACTCTGAGGAAGCTTATCTACTTTTAGTACCAAGTGCAGCTTTTAGAGTTTTTGTCGGCTGAAAGAAGCAATGTATGGGAAAGTTTCTAGCTTTTTCGAGCTTTCTGGATAAGCAAAAGCTACCAAAACTCCCCTAAACAGGCCCGAGGCATTGGGAAGAGTTTGAAGGGCAAAGCAAAAAAGTAGATGGTAAGGTGGGAAAGGTGAGCGTGCATGGACGTGGCGGTGCTTAGTTGAATGGATGCCACGGGTGTCCGTATCAATGCCTAGCGGGCAATAGAGCAGGTTGTTTTTGTACTCATTTTCCAAATTGTAAGACCATGTTTGGCAGAGCTTCTTTGCAAACGGCTTCACTTTAAGCCAAAGAAGCCATGTTTAGGTGGCTTCACCCCTCTAGTGTAGAAAGCAGCTTATCCACTCTGCAGCATCTCTCGCAGAGCTATTTTTGTGAGCAAGTGTTAGATAGGGCTTCATTTCAAAAGCCCGAGAAACCAGAGCTGAAGTCCCTCTAGAAGCCCTATCAACCAAAGAGGATCTAGATACATAGCTTTTGCTATGTGTACATGATACATAGCAAAAGTTATGTATGTAAAAAAAAAAGCAACTTACAAATTAGAACGGAGAGAGTAGTTGTAACAACCGACGAGACAACATTGTGGGAGAACTGAGGTAAACCATGTAAATCCGTACCGTGTAAACTTGTTACAATTTTTAAATTGACTAAAACCTTGATGATACTAATTGTTTTTTGCACTCTTTCGAGCTGGATTGGAGATCCAAATCATGTGTGGGCATCATCTTTTGCCACCAGTCCATGGTGCAAGTCTGCAAGATGTAGATGATAAGTACAACTAAAAAACAAGATAGATGATAAATCATTACCTTTTTTTTCAAAACGTGCTGAGCAGGTATTACATTTAAAAAAGGAAAGAGTTATTACGTAGTGAGCAAAACCAAGGAGGAAAATAACTCCTAGCGCATACGACCTCAGGAGCAAGTAAGCCAAAGGCTACCAAGCAGAACCAATGCCCAATAGTCTATTGGGCTGTTGTCCTATAATAGACAAATGTCCCACCAAACAACAAATTCTCAGACCCTCAAAATCAGTGGTCTGAATTGTCGCCTAGCTAGACAAACTTGCCTAGACAAGAAATTAAACAGGCCCCAAATGCGTAGACAACTAGCTAACCTTGCAACTTAGAATTCAAACAGGCACGACCCAAGATAAACATGAGCAACCGGACCAGAGCGACCAGAACAACTAACCGCCCATCTACCACAGTTTCGTGGCTCTGACCAAGCAACAACATCCACCAATCAAAGATGCATGCCGACAATCTAGGACTCGAACCACCACAGAGGTAGAGAGGAGGGGGCCGTGAGACGTCTCCCTCCACAAGGTCACACTATATTTTTAGCTTCTCAACGCATTAGAAGCTAGACCAACTTCTCTCAGTGTGCTTTTTAACCTTTTAGTTTATTTCCTGAAAAACTAGCTTTGTAGTAGTTTTTTAAAAGCCAGCTTAACAGCTGGGTTATTTATTTTAGCTTTTGGCTCTAGCTGATAGAAGTCAGCAAAAACATGAAACAAACATACTCTAAATATAATTGTTAACTGTTTGTTTGCCCAACATCGGACGAGTAGAGCCTGGCTAATTAAAGAGCTAGATTGGGCAAATTTGGTTTATTGGGTCTGGTGACAAGTCATAAATGTCAGCCACAACAGATCGTAACATGTAATACGAGCCCGCGCTCGAGAGGACTCACCTTCTTCTGGTCCAAGGGCGCTTTGGATTTTGCTAGCTGATCCAGGAAACAGGTAGAGTCGTTTTCCTGAAGTAGGAGTAGATATTTACATTTCTTTCCTTCAATTCCTTGTTATAAACATCTTTTCAGCAACTAATTAAACAAATCTACCTGAACATCAAATCACAATGATTATTACACTTTTATTATTTTGGACCGAAACCAGGACCTATCTATACTCGGAATGATTATGGTAATTAAGCCTCAAGTACATAAACTTGCGATTGTCGTCTTCTAAACGTGGCATTATCTGCAACACACAGTTTTATGTACGGTGCCACAAGTGTGGTACCCTTGTCATTCACCAATTCTTATCATTTGGAACATTATTCAATCAAAGCCGAGAGATGACTTTATGGCGCACAACAACCAACCCCGGGTCCACCTCCACTTGGCGCGCTATGTATACGAGTAGCTCTCCGCCACTCCCATCCGTCACATTATTCGAGCTGAGCTGTGCCGTGCCCCCACCCCCACGTCCAGCGGTCGAGCACCACCACACCACCTCCGACGACGACGACAACGACAGCGTCATGGGCAACAGCCTGCGGGGCTGCCTGGCCTGCATGGTCCCCTGCGGCGCCCTGGACGTGGTGGTCCGCGTGCACACGCACACCACCTCCGACGAGTATGCCAGGCCGCAGTTCAGGCCCCGTGGCCGCGGCCACCGTGCTCGCCGCGAGCCCCAACCACACGCTCGCCACGGCGTGGTCCCCGTCCGGCGCGCCCGGGTGCGGGTCCAGGAAGCTCGTCATCGTGTCGCCGACGCCGAGCTCAAGCGCGGCCGCATCTACTCCTCATCCCGTCCGCGACGCTGCCGGCCGACCGGAGGAGCAAGAAGCAGAGCAGCGGCGGCAGCTCCAAGAAGAGCGGCGGCGGCGGCAGCAAGCGGCGGCTGCCGTCACCACCACAGCGCCAAGAAAGCAACTGGCGACACGACGGAGCAGGACAACTACCTGAGGGAGCTGCTCGCCGAGAAGACCGGCGGCTACCACCGGAGGCGGGGAAGTCGGCGTGTGTTTGGTTTTCTTTTTGCCTGCGATCGAGGACGAGTGTCTCCTGTTCTCACCTCTCGATGCCCTCGACACGTATTGTGATGTCCAGGGTTGACGGTCTTTAGTTCGGGAGATAGAGCCTGCCCCAACCTGCTGAGTTCATCTCACATTTGTCCCAGTTTGCTTAGATTGGGCAATTGCTAAACTAAACAGGCTCTTTATTTGGTGGACTTCAATATGGAACGCAGATCCGAGATGGGTCTGGATCATCTGTCGGTCTGCACATAGAGGAAAGTTTGTTTGCCTGCGCTGCGCTGGAGAGCCCACATGTCAGCCACATTCACCAACCACCTGCACCCACATCGGAGCCCGAGCGAGCCGCGCTCGAGAGAAACGAGCTTCACCTTCGTTTCCTCCCGGCCTGGTCCAAGGGCGCTTTGGATTCTGTGCTGCATAGGCTCCAACGAAGTCCAGGTAAACAAACAAGTGATTTGTATCTCTAGAGCCTGTCCATAGTTTTCTTTCTGAAGTAGGAGTAGATATACTTGAGAAAAAACAAGGCCATATGCTCCATCAATAATGCTAGAACTACTACACGATATGGCTTGGTAGAGAAGAACGGATAATCGGCTTCATGGTGCTTTTACAAATGACTCATCATTTTTTTTTGCCAATTATTCATTATTTCAATTTTTGTTTTGTTTGGTAGTTATGCTCGACTCTATCTTACAATGATTATTACACTTTTATGTAGAATTTCTAGAAACAACTGAACCGAAACCAGTTATATTTAACCAAACTTCAGAGTCTAAGAATTATCTATACTCGGAGATGATCTTGTCATGTCTGTAATGTACAAGGGCCTCAAGAATTTACATAAACCGCTGCGATTGTCGTCTTCTAAACGTGGCATTGAGCTCTGCACACCACACAATTTGAAAGTTTTATGTACAAGATTGTGTGTACCTTCTCTTAAACAATACCAAGTGCTTATTTGTACCCGTAACATTGCTACTCAATTCTTATGAAGCATTTGGAACATTATTCAATCGCAAAGCCAGCGAGAGAGCTATGACTTTAAAGATGGCAGCATGGCACAACAACCAACCCCCCCCGGGTCCACCTCCACTTGGCGCGCTATGTATACGAGCAGCTGGCCTCCGCCACTCCCATCCGTCACATTATCACAAGGAGTCGTCCCGGGTTCCATTCCAATCAAGAAGCCGAGCTGAGCTGTGCCGTGCCCCCACCCCCACGTCCAGCGGTCGAGCACCACCACACCACCTCCGACGACGACGACAACGACAGCGTCATGGGCAACAGCCTGCGGGGCTGCCTGGCCTGCATGGTCCCCTGCGGCGCCCTGGACGTGGTCCGCATCGTGCACCTCAGCGGGCACGTCGACGAGTTCAGCTGCCCCGTGGCCGCGGCCACCGTGCTCGCCGCGAGCCCCAACCACACGCTCGCCACGGCGTGGTCCCCGTCCGGCGCGCCCGGGTGCGGGTCCAGGAAGCTCGTCATCGTGTCGCCCGACGCCGAGCTCAAGCGCGGCCGCATCTACTTCCTCATCCCGTCCGCGACGCTGCCGGCCGACCGGAGGAGCAAGAAGCAGAGCAGCGGCGGCAGCTCCAAGAAGAGCGGCGGCGGCGGCAGCAAGCGGCCGAGCCAGAGCCGCCGTCACCACCACAGCGCCAAGAAGAGCGCAGCAACTGGCGACACGGCGGAGCAGGACAACTACCTGAGGGAGCTGCTCGCCGAGAAGACCGGCGGCCACCACCGGAGGCGGCGGAGCGGCGCCCGCGTCGGCGTGTGGAGGCCGCAGCTTGAGAGCATCGTGGAGGAGGCCTCGGACTAGATCGACGGCTCCAAGAGCTCGATCGCGCTTATTCTTTTGGTTTTCTTTCTGATCTGCCGATGTGAATACCACCATCGATCGAGGACGAGTCGTCTCCGGCCGGTTCTCACCTCTCGATGCCCTCGACACGTATTGTGATGTCCAGGGTTGAGCGGTCTTTAGTTCGGGAGATGAGGGGAAAATTGTGACAAAATAATTGCAACAGCCCCAACCTGTACAGAGAGATTTGGTTGAGTTCATCCGAAATTTCAAACACATTTGTCCCTTGTCCACTTTTCTCCGTTTGATTAACTTCTGCCGACTCGAATCGAAAACTAACATGCAGGCGGCTCAATTGCTAAATCAAAAATTAAACAGGCAATTTAAAAGCGACAGATCATATTCACGTGCAGAAAATACTCCTCTGCATATGTGGTGCGACAGAGAGATTAGCTTCAATATGGAACGCAGATCCGAGATCAGAAGACGGAGATGCACGTATCTAAGTGTTCCTTAATTAGATTTTGCAAAGCTTTTTCGAAGTCCTTGAGTACGTGCTTCGTTGTTTCGCAAGTCGTCGTCGTTCTGGCGAAGCGGACATAACATGGGGCGCCATTGGGCGTTGTGTTCTTCTCAGAGTCACAGCCTCACAGGCCATTTCGGTGTGCTCAATTGCACATGCACTCGCATAATTTGCACAGAGGCTTGATGGGTTCGTCTGATTCTGACGTTGGTGTCCCGTGTCCTAGACTTTTTTAGAGACCGTCAAATCGCCAATGTAATACGTACCAGCAGAACAAGCAGCTGTGGCACTGAGCAATGATTCGTTCTTTGGGCCGAAAGGCCTTTTGGGCCTGAGGCTTTGTTAGGCAGGCCGAAGTGCAAACGGCTTGTAGTGTGGTGTCAGGCCCGTGCAGGAGGAGGCATACGAAATTGTGAATGTGCCAGTTGACTTTTTTTTTTTAAGAATTACACACATATTTATTTGCACTCAACTTAATCTAGAAGTTTAGCATTATATTAGAGGAGTAAAAAATGCTCTCACCATTGGAGATGGTGCTCTGCCACTAGGCAAGACCTCGAAGGTAAGCTCGTATAGCAATTACATGTGGCTCGTTTAGTTTACATGAGTAGCATATTGAAGGACGATCGTGCCCACCAATCGATTTTTTTACTACTACGAAACAATTTAATTTATTTTTAGAGGCGCCTAATATCGATTTTCAGATGCCCCAGTGTAGTCATAAGTCATGCTATTTTCTTTTAGACGGCTGTTTTCTTGGATTTGAATTCGAGACCATTCTCTTTGTGCCTAGCATTTGTTAATAACTAGATAAGAGGGCTATTTTTTTTTCTAATTCAGCTACCAAAACTCTGTAGTGACTCTAATAAATAGTTTTAAGTGAAAAGATTGTCAACTATAAGTTGTACATCTCGTCGAGCACTATAATTTTAATATAGAGCATGCCATGGCCGAGGTAGTTTAAAATTTAAAATTTCAAAATTTTGATAACTTATTATTGATGAATATTTGGGCACTTAAATGACCCAAATAAAAAAGTTGGTTTCCAAATTTTAGAGCTCGTCAAGGACCCAATTTTTTAGACAGGTTATGATTGTAGAGCTAGTCTAAATAAAAGGTGAAGGCCACTTATAAATTGCCTCAAGAAATGAATATCGTGACATCTTATAAACCTTTTTTATATCGTCCCCCAACGCTTACGGTATAACATCGCTCTAGAGGATGCTTAGAGTAACTCCAGAAGACTCTTTACGTTCTTCCTAATTTATATGAATAAAGATTTTGGAAAAAAAACTCTAATAACCTTTTTAATATATCTCTAAATATAGACATCCTCTATTCTGGAATTCTCGTTTAGCCAAAGATTGAGAGCGAGGATGACTCTCTAGAGTGCCAGTGTGGACCACCACATCAGCAAACGGGTCTAATTTGGACCTGTAACATACCATATGCCAAGTTTAAGGAACTGGATGTGTATTTTATGAGTTTGGGAACCTAAATGACCCTTTGCCAAATTTAGGGGCCGCTAGTGCATTTTACTAAAAAAACAAGATATAGAAAGCGATATTTACTCGAATAACGCTCCAAAGACTCTTGAAGATGCTCTTAAAGATCTATCGGTTCCTTGATGGCTCCATTTTGTAGTTATGTTAAGGAGAGGGCCATGCTAATAATGGTACCTATCCAGGACTACTCTGCTCTATTTTTTCAGTTTACTCCCAACTTCGCTAGCCAAGTAGAGACAGCTCGACGAACTCTATTACAGAGAAAAGGTGAAGTTGAGGGTCTACTCCAAGTATTTGTATTTTGTGGAGCACCTAAAGGGTTACTTCAAAAACTTTAGTTTTTGTGTGTGTGTGTGTGAAGTTGTTGTGTGTTAGAGTTTGACGAAGCAAAGCTGGTTTTAGTGAAGTGAATGAGTCCCAAACAGACCCCTGATTCTTGTTCGGACGCTCCCTTTCTACCATAACAGGATCAGCGACCGAGTTGCCTGCCTCGCGCAGTCGTGCTCCATTTAGCAAGAACATACAGCATCAACGTCGTCGGAAGGGGACGGGAGCAGCGACCGCTGCTGTTTTGATCCGGTCCTGCATGACTGCATGCCACGCCGCACCGTGCGCGCGCAGTCGCGGCGAGAGCGCTGGATGCTCCCGGCTCCCGGCCTCCCGCGCGCTCGTGGTCCGTGACCCGGGCGCCGTGGCGCTCGCGAACACGCAAATCGGTCGACGACCGCAACATTTGTGGTGTGGTGCCATCATTGAGTGGTTCAGCTGGACTCCGAAGAGCAGCTAGCTCGTTTTTTTTTATGACAAGCTAGCTCGCTTGTGGGTGGCACCCAGGGAGCAAACGCTACGTACCATAGTGTTTGTCAGTGTGTGTTGAACGGATTTTGACCCCACTCGCCGCGTACAATCAAGTGCAGCGTCCTCTTGGTCTTCTTGCCCCAAATGTGGCTGACTTGCACTTGCATTGTCTTGTTCAGAGCGAGTCCGCCCTTTTGTTCTCCGACACACGGTCTGTTGAAACTTCATCTAGTAGTACTAGTGGTTAGGCATGGAGGAACCGTTGTCAAAATCCACGGTCAAATCCTTATACACGTTTAATTTAAATAAAAAGCTCAAATACAAGGGACTAGCATGCTGGGCTGCTGCTGACCGATTCTACTCCACACTCATTAATATATTACGGCCCGTTCGGCTGGGGCTGGCTGGTCAGACCCTTCACATGGGCACTATTCACATGAACCAGCCAGCGGTACTTCTCTCTCACATAAACGAACCAGCAACGATACGAATCAGCCAACCGAACATTGGGTTAATGCGTACGTGTACTTGACAGTGCATGTGGAGGTGTACCCGTGGAAGGAAGGACGCATCGTTCAATCGGGTGCTACGTGCAGTTCGGCAGGGAGAGACTTTGCTTATGTCAAATGAGAAAAATTACTAGAACTGCTTTTTGAGAACGTGTGCCTGAACACAGATCGAATACAACCGACCAATGCGCCGACTCAAGCTAACCTGAGCCTTAAGCCCATAACTCAACTGATTATGTGGTTTATAATAAAGCCAGTCTACTGATTGAGCTCAGGTCTTCAAATCATGTTTTTTTTACAAGAAAATGAGAAACTTGCCAAACAAGCATCTGTTATAACTAATCAGTCTACAGAGCTAGTCTTGACAAACAAGCATATGTATGGTAATTTCACAAGAAAATGAGAATACGTGAGGTCATAGATTCTTTACGGTTGGTTACACTAGCTCTGCATCGAGCACTAGCGCGCGCGTCTCAATGTAGCAGAGATCGATCAATTTGGATCTTGATGAATGTTCTATTATGACATAATATTCAGTTCAATTTTGACTACAACATTTTTCATGTAAAAAAAAAATTGAGGAACAAAACTTCTCTACCCTTTTGTCAAATTGCCATGTGCCCTAGACTCTAGTATCCTAAATCCTTTCTTTCCCCTCCACCTGTTAAGGAGAGGCACCCTTGCGGCAAGCATCTCCTCTGCCAACATGGAGGCCTCCAAACAAATAAAGAAATGTGTTCAACCCTATCCTAGACACAACAACAACCCTATGCAAAACAAACAGTTTTATGGACATCACGTCATGACTTGCCATGTTCTGCAGTCCTTCAGTCAGTGTAGAGCATCGACTGCGGGAAAAACGACATGTCCTCTCGGGGCTCCTCCTTGGCCCTCGACGCGTGCATGGCGTCGTTCTGCCTCTGCTGCTGCTGGTGCTGGCTCATGTACGAGCCCATCGGGTTGTGGAAGCCGGCGGAGGAGTACGCGAAGCTGCCGCTGCTCTGCGCCGGCGCGCCAGCTGCGCCGCTGAGGCCGAACGAGCCCTGCCCGCCGAACCCGTACTGCTGCTGACCCGTCTGGTAGGCCATGCCCGGCTGCGCCGCGAGGTAGTGGGCGGCGTTGTCCGCGGGCGGCGGCGCGGACCGGTAGAGTGCGGCGCTGCCACGCGCAGCGGGCACGTCGTGGTTGTGCTTCCCCTCGTACGTGGTGATCACGGCGCGCAGGTCGTGTGACGCGCGCTCCACGTGCTTGCGCACCGGGCAGCCGGCCGTCGTGCACTTGTAGTAGCTCCTGCAGTCACGAGACAGCGTTCACGACGATGAGCAAAAGTTCACGCTTGCAGTAAGCTTTTAATTCTTTCCACGGAGAGGGAATTTTTTTTACCTGGGGTTTGGATTTCCCTTCACCACCTTCTGCCCGTACTTCCTCCACCGATAGCCGTCATCGAGGATGTCGATGTCGCTCATGGTCTGGACAACGACCCTCGGCTCACGCACCGTCCGGTTGCCGGCCATGGAGATACCCTCGCCGTCACCGTCTTTCCTCCTGACAAAAGCAACAGGAATTCAATTCCACTTGTTCGATTGTTCCAAGCATGCAACAGAAACAACTTGGCGCAAAAAAAAAAGGTACTGTGTCACCAAAGCACGCACTCACCATCTCTTGGAATCCGGCTCGTCCTCGTCGAACTCGTCGCCGCCGGCGTTTGCGGCCCGCGGCGAGCCCAAGCCGACCTCGTCGTCCCCGAACGACGCCGAGGAGTTCTCGGGCGTGGCGACGGGCGTCCCGCCGAACGAATGCTCGGACGCGTCGCCGCCCTGCAGCAGCTGCGCGGCGGCGCTGGAGTTCCTGCGCGTGTTCTGCGGCTTGGCGTGGTTGTGCGTGCCCTTGTACACGATCTCGGTGATCTGGCCGTCCAGAGACCGCTCCACCTTCTTCTTGGTGGGGCAGCTCGGGAAGGTGCACTTGTAGTAGCTGCGCGGGTTCTCGCTCCCCTTCACCTGCTTCTGCCCGTACTTGCGCCAGTTGTACCCGTCGTCCGACGACCGCCTCTGTGACTGCTGCGCCTGGTGGCTGTACCCGCCGCCGCTCGCCGGCACGTGCGGCGCCATTGCGCCGGCGTCCGACGACGCTGCCTGGAACGGCCCGCCGTAGGCAGCCTGGCTGGATCCCGCGTCCATGGCTGCAGGTTGCTGCTGCTGGTAGCCCCATGGCTGCTGCTGCTGCTGCTGCTGACTTCTATACGCCTCTTCACCCTGAAGTGTTGCAAGGGATATTTGTATTATGTTATGGTGGAGTATAATTTTGTCTTTGACAATTATAGTACAAACAAAAAAGATTACAAGATCATGACATGATACTACCTTTTATATTTGTGATTTTGTGTGCTTATTAAAGAAACAGTCCAGGATACTATGCCAGCCAGTAGTTCTGTTTTTTTTAGTGGTGTAGGTGTCTCTTTTGGACAAAGTCAGCAAAGAACCCACGAGAGGGTGATGACATAAATGGATGCTGATCTCACCAGTGGGGCCGCTGGAATCGGTGGCTGGAAGGTCGTCGTCGTCCGCACGGCCTCTTCGGTCGTCGGCGCTGTATGGAACGAGAAGTCCGGGTACGTGTGCCTCTGCTCGTCCTTGCCGCCTTGCTCCGCGCCCGGCGTCGCCAGCCAGCTGAACTGCTGCGAGGCGAATGCGTTCGTCGTCGGCGAGGGGAAGATCTGAAACGTGCAAAGCGCATTAGCATTCCAGAAAACATGTGGACGGCAGTGCGCGCCGCTGCACGGACGGCGATGTCCAGCGTGGTGCAGCTGCGCACACGCACGCCTGGTGAGTGCTCCGCGCGACAAGTCAAAGCCCCACGGCCGCGCGACCATGACCCGCACAGAAATGGCAGCAGGGCAATGATGGCGCGGTTTGAACGGGGTTCGTCCGTGCTTGCTTACACTGGAGCTCAAGAGGGCCGGCGAGTCGAGGAAGTCGGCGGGGTTGAGGCCGCCGGGGATGTTACTGAAGAAGGACGACGGCGTCAGGGGCAGGGACGGCGGGGTCATGGCCTTGTACCTCGACGCCCCGGCCGCCGCGTCCGCGGATCCCCCCAGCATGTCCGTGAAGCTCGTGCTCGCGAACGAGAACGACCCGGGCCTCGAGTTCGCCGCCGGTGCTTCGATGCTCCCGGACGACGAGGTGGTCATCGGCGAACGGCGGAGGGGAAGGGAGTCGCCACTCGCGACGATCAAACCCGCGGCGCTGCGCTGCGACGAGACCGGTCGTGTGTGTGTGTGTGTTCGGGGAGCCTGTCACGTCGTGTCCGGCGTGTACGTCAGGGCTGGCCGGCGCGGTGGTGGAAGGCGATGAGGTGGGACTGGGAGAGGAGGAGGTGGAGGGAACCGGAGCTGCTTGGTTTTGTTTGGACGGGGAGCTGCGCTGGGCTATATCTATATAGGCTTGGAAAATTTTGACTGTTGACCGGTCAAAGCTCGTGGAGTTTGACTGGCGGCGCTCGCTGGCCAGGCCAGCTTCGCGACCGGATGACTTTAGTATACCCACCAATAGTGGCGGACAGCGTGGCTCCACGGTGGCGACGTGGCCTGCGGTCATGTGAGACGGGTGCGCAGGCGGGTAAGGTTTTGGGTGACAGAAAGGGTTGGTGGTCACGAAATGTTTCTTTGACCTGCTCAAACGTCCAATGGTATTTCGGGGATCACATGGACTGATTTTTTGATTAAACAATTTTGCTTTAAATTTTGAAATTTGTAATATCTAAAGCTAGTATAGAACGTGACAAAATACATGGTTTATTGAACAAATTTAACTCTAATTGTTTGGATAGGATGTGCGTGTGCATGATCAATGACCCTGTGTTTTATTGTTCTCCTTCAGATGCTTTCCACAGCTACGCATTCGAGTGTTTAAATTTACGGTTACTCGGATTTTGCTAAATCTGAACTATTGGATCAGCATCGATTAATGAGTAATGTAAATTAGGGGGTCTTTAAACTTATTCGAGAGTGTCGCCTCTATCATGAAACTACTAAATTTCAGTCTCATATCTCTAAATTCGTTAATAGTGTGTCATGTACTCATGTGAGATTTGAATGTTGCTAATTATTGTTTAAGTGCCCACACAAAAGGAGACAACACGTCCACCTATAATACATACTCCCTCTCCTCGTTGAGAGGAGATGGCTGGTGAACAATAATCAGGGAGTTTGGACCTTCAAAGAATTATTTAATTAGGACGGTTCCGATCTAAAAACTAAATCATATAGACACTACACATATAAACTATATTCTAATTGATATATTCTTTAAAATAACCTTTTGTCCAATCGCATAGCTTCTCTCTCTCCCATATCTTTGTATATTGGTTCTCGTGTAGACATAATTTTTTCGTGACCGTGCCTTGACATGTTTTTTATTAAGCAGATGTACAGTTAGAAGCTAGCCACGGTAATCCCACGATTACCGACGCCTACGACCCGAACAATACACGAGGTTGTGATTTACAAACATTCAATTTGCGCCCATGTAGACATAGTTTCTTATCTAAAAAATATTTCCTCCCCTCTCTCTCTCTCTCTCTCTCTCTCTCTCTCTCTCTCTCTCTCTCTTTAAATTTCAATGTCAATTTACCATTTGCTTGGTTAGTATCCTAATTAATGAATATAGAAACTATTAATTTTTGGGTTGTGCCCTTAGAATCTTTTTGAATTCCATATAGCTAATAATTATCTACTAAAATTTATCTGAGGTTCTATTTAGATCCTCATCTAATAAGTAATTAATGTCTTACCTACTACCTAGCTAATAATTAGTTATTAGCTAGTTTTTTTTTTTTGTAACACAGCTAATAGTTATTTGAGTACATCCAAACAGGGCTAGCAACTTTAGGGGGGCATGAAATTGCAAATCAACTGCCCATGGATCTTGATGAAATCCTCCTGGCAAGTTGAGGGATAACTTTAAACCATTTAATTTAGGTGATCTGTGAGAGAGAATTTTCTAGGTGTTCCAATTTTAGCAAAGCAGCTACAGTCATGTTTCGGCCAGTTATAAAATATAAAGCGGAAGTGAATTGTTTCAACTCGGTATACCACAAGCAAAGTATATGTATGTTAGGTAAACTTTTTCTGAACCTAATAATACAGTAAAGATTGAAGGTTGTATCGTGTTGACATCAACGAGATTCAGTTGCCGTGCACGAGGTGACGAACACATTTGGTCCAATTCAGATGTCGTTTAGAATGCGATCAAGAGTTCGGCACCGAGTAGGGGCTATGATTACTCAACCCGGTGAACTTAGGCACAAATTCATGTGCTTCTTGGGCCACGGACCATATCGCTCGATCGTCTCCTTGAAAATGATTACGCGATTCAACGAGCATGTGGTTCTTGAGTGCGTAACGGATCCTACTACTACATGCGAGGCATGTGATCTCAAGGTGTAGGACGCCAGAGGTAGGCGTGTTTGATTTGCCCAAAATTGTGCTCCGACGGCATGGTTTTGATTGGCGCGCAAGACGCATGTGTTCGATGGGACTCGGAAATTCAGTGCCCCCGTGATACCATGAACCACAGATATTCAGCCGTCTTATAGAAAAGAAATAAATTTTTAGAAAATTTCTAATAAAAATAAGAAAGATCTGTCATTAATTCAGTGGACTCTATCACCACTGATAATAATAGCCACGGATCAATTTGTTTTCTAAATAATTAGCCACATTTGCCAATAGAAAAACAGTAATCTCTAAATGTACATCTAAATGCAAACAGATCTGTAGCCTACTAGTGAGAAAATTCTTAGTAACAGATTCTAGGTTCGTCTCCTTGTAAGAGTGAACTTATTTAACTAGCCTAGGTTTCAAAACATCTCTGGACGTCTGTGTTCTTAAGTTATACGTGTAACTATTTGAATCACTTTTTATCGAGATGCACATAGCCGTGTGCTCGGTGGTACGTCTGCACATTTCTAAATAATAAGGGGAAAAGACGTTCAAAGATAAATTTTATAGTTATAGGTATTAAACAAGAACTTTCGATGCTTATAAATAAACCATACATTTCTGGTACGCGTTCATGGTAACCTAGTGTCTCTAATGGAGTCTCCAAGTTTATTATCAGTCCTCAATGGAGCATGATAATTCTGACGTAGAAAGCCAAAACATAAGTAAATAATGAAAGTTCTAAAGAATTAGATCTATCTGGGTACATCAAATTAAGTTTGTAGACTCTAATGAGCATTGACAATAATATCTATTGGATCTATTATGGTTTTTTTAAAAAAATTGACATTTGGCATTATTAAAAATAACAAAAAACAACCAATGCTCACTAAAATGTTAAACGGTACGGTAAACAATCAGGCACCTATGGTTTAGCGTTTATTCGAGGTGCAGCCACTTACACGGGCTACATGATCAATTAAATGGGATAAACATCGATTAAATGGACATACCATATCACCGAGTAGCGTTTAAATAGCATGTAAATGGACTACATGACTGTATATGACAACATTGAAAATAAAACCTAAACCTACAAGTCGATTACCTGCATATGGTATTATCAGAGGTAATCTAAAATAACATTCTAAATTATCCCACATATGTCATTATGAAAAATAATATAAAGTGCTCTGTAAACTTACATGTAGATTACTCTCCAATGCTATTATGAAAGTTAATCTACAGTAGCCCTTCTATTTGAATCTAGATTTTCCAACTCCGACATTATAACAAATAATCTAAGTAATTCTTTGAATTTGCATCTAAGTTACCGAACTAGCCACCTATGTGCATATTAAAAATAAAATAAAATATTCCCTCAAATTTACTTTCATGTACTAACATTAACATCGAATTTTATGCAAAAAAACTAAATATTATAGAGATGAGCCACCACAAGAGCTGATATAACTAGCTAGTATTTCTCCTAAACACAACTTGAAGATCGGTAGAGATGTGACAGCAAGGGGTGGGGAGACTATTAATATGTATGAAAACCATATAGAGATCACATAGTATGTATACAAGTACTATGCTTATATATATTGAGAGAAAGCGAAAAGAGAAGTTATGATTTGCTATAGGTACGAAATATATTCATTAGTTGCTAATACTTTTTGTTTGGTGCATCATGTGTGTGTAGAAGCACAGGTTGGTGGATTGAACTTGTCAGCATGAGCGCTACTCAAGCTTGAGCAGAGTCTCGCTTATCGCTCGATCACTCGTGGAGTTTTTGACTTTTGGTGTGTCGTCCCCCCATATTTGGTTAACCTTTCTTGCGGTGCGCAAAAGTTTCCGGTGATGGTTCCTGCTGGGTGCAGGCGAGCGGTTCTTAGCAGACGACCATTCTTCAGCACGACCAGGTCACCAGGACAAAACGCCGTTCTTCGCGTAGCTTTGCAGCCACACCCCCGGCGAACTACTAATCCTAGCTAGCTAACAACACCACCAGGTAGTAGAATCTCAGTTAGTTCTTCCCTCTAGCTAGCGACACCGACTCGCACACACAACTTGGCGAGTGGCTGGCCCCAAGGCCTCACGCACGATTATCCGCAAGTTTACGGCGTCGGATGCTAAAGGGTAACGACGGAGGAGCAATGCTTTTCATCCTGTGTTTATTTTTTTCTTCTATATAAAAACAAAAATTCTTCGCTGCAATGCAATTGGGTCGTTGGCCTGGACTGATGGGTCCACGGGCTGACGTTTCTATGCAGCGGTGTTCGGTACCCGGCACTGCGGTACAGCTGCTGGCTGCTCCTGCAGTCCTGCATGACCCCAAAACCATCTCCGCTCCGCTGGACAGGACAGACTACTCCTTCGTCTCTTTCCTGGAAAAAGGAAAAAGGGAAAAAAAGAGAAGAAGATCTGTTAGTTGGAGCTTCTCCATCTTTCTTGGAAGGTGTGTGTTACCCATTCGGTTCGCTAACCAGATCAGAGGAGATGCTCCAGCTATTTTATTTTATATAAGAGAAAACAGTCCACGTTTCTGAATTCTCTAATGGCTCGCCTGAATTCAGTAAGTAGCCTGTCTCTTCAGAGATGTACTAAAGAATGTTGAGAAACCTGAAACCGGTGCCGGGTGCCACAGCGGTAGTGACTGACTGGATGAGTAGTTCGAGTTTGTACTCAGGAGTCAGGACAAAGCAGGAGCTGTTGTTTTCAGTCCACTGTGCTCGCCGCGCATGCGTCGTATCGGCTGTAAACAAACGTATCAGTATATACAACAACACCGGCACGCGTAATTCTCTCTTTTTTATGCAGCATGTTTACTTGCTAGCTAGCTGCTGCGTTTCAGTCCACTGTGCTCGCCGATGCAAGCGCGTGCGTCGTACTCGTACCGGCTATACACCACCGTTAGCGATGGCCAGTCCGACCTTGCTACCATTGGACGATCCTTCAGTTTATTTCTTATTTTAGTAAGGATCAAATAAAAATAAGTTAAAAAGTGACATTTTATCTTCACCTTCAAAATATGATATTCTTCGGTTTATTTCTAAGCATGGACGTTCTTAACAAGTTATCATCAATCGTGTTTGTTCGAGGAAAAGAAGAAGATCAACAAGTCAGAAAAAATATTGTTTCATGGTGATTGGGTCGACCCATCCTACCTATTAGGTCACTAGGTTCTGGACATATCGACCAATATTTCGATATTGAGCGCTTCCCTGGTGGCCCTTTGACATGCTTTCATGTGTCGGACCAACTACCCAATAGGTCGACCTGACCGGTGGCGGACCCAGTGGGTAGTCCTGGTAGGCCCAGGGCTACCCACAAATTTGATCCAAAATCTTATTACTACTCTTCAGAAAGGTCCAAACGCTTTCCTTCCGGCTTCCCCGGTCACTCTCGCCTCAGCCCAGGCCGAAGACACCGCAAAACGGGGACCTCCTGCCTCGGGCTGTAGCGCGCTTACCAGTCCAGCTACGAAAGTTTGTTGGATAGGCGATACCCGCAACCCTATTTAATAAGGAAAACAGGAAAAAATACTCCTTAATTAATCATTCATTGGTATGCTAAATCATGTCCTAAGTGACTTTATTTACCAGTATGGAGGGAGTATTTATGTAAGTTTCCAATCTTTTAAATGTATTATCGTAATTTGGTTAATTTATATCTATGTTTGCCGAACTTTTTGTTTGAATTTTATAGTATTACGCATGATTTTTTTTACTATGACTACCCTGGTCTTAGATCCTGGGTCCGCCACTGGACCTGACCCATTTCCATCTTTAACCACGGTATGCTACAAGTCCACAATAAACATCACATGTGTTTGCCTTTCCCTTTTTTTTTGCAACATGCTTGCTACTAAGGTCAATCTTAGTGGAAGTTTTATGGCATTAAATAAATTGACATGACACATAATAGATTAAGGGAGAGATGTTGAAAGTTTTACGGGATAAAATGAGTTTTACAAGGATGAAACTTATCTGCATTGTTTTTAACACATGGAGTCTTGGAAACTAGAACATAAAACTTCCACTGAGGCTGGCCTAATACTGCCTTCATCCAAACGTGTACGTCTCACTTTTTTATGACTCAATTAATCTCAAATTTAACTAAATATATGAAAAGTACTAATATTTACTATAGAGAATAAGTATCATTTGTAATATAATTTTTATGGTAAACACATTTAGAGATATCGAAGCTATTTTTATAAATCTAATAATCAAATTCAAAAGTAATTGATTATTAAAAATCGAGTGTTTTTTTTTTGAACTGAGGGAGTAATTGCTATGGAAAGACGTAACTGCTGACAACATGCAGAGCGGTAAAAAGACCTATGAGGCGACAGCTACGGAGGTACCATCCTACCAAAGACATCGAAGGCCCACGATTGGCACAGCGTACCCGACGTCAACATTAGGTTCAACTCTCATAGCAAACACCAGATAACGTACGGTTCATATAATTAAAAAAAACACGCACTATGTATGTACGATAATGAATTCTAGCAGACATTGGTTCTTCAGACCCGTGGAAATTAAATTAGATGAACCCCAAGACCTACGGTTGACAAGGCACAGTGACGTGAACATGCGGCTCAGCTCTTCCGAAGGCAACAACGTACGATCTTGGTTGAAAAAAACATAAAACCCGGTGTGGCGGTGACGCGGTGTGTGCGATCATAAGCTGTTGATGTTAGAGCTGTAGTAAGGCTGTAGGGGTTTTTGTCTCCAACTCCAAGTGCTGTTTTTTCTAAGAAAAAAAAATGTTACTGAATACTATAAATTGCAATGCCGTGGAGTGGAGACGAAGAAACTGCAGAAAACGAAGTGTTGATTTTTCCAGGCGACGACGGTGCATAGAAAACTAAACTTGCTGGGAAAGAAGATGCCTCCCCACCGGAGACAGACAAGACTCAAAATCAACTGAAACATGCCGTGCTGCCATCGCCAGCCCCAGCCAAGCTGTTTGCATGCAGGGATGGCGGAATGCTCAGTTCTTCCTCTCCTCCCCACGTCAGGACAAACACAGACTCGACGACGAACGTCGTCTGGTCACAATTCGTTCGTACGCAACTCGCTCACTTGAAGCAAGAAGAACCAGTCGTCCTCATCATGGATGATGATGGATCGACACGTATGTCCAATCCAACCATTCTATCTCTGTCAATGCACCGCGCCATGCTTCTTTTCGCGCAAGCAGGCAACCGTGCCGACCTCTGCTCCTCCCATCCCGGTGTCACCTCTGCTCCCTTGCACCGGTCTGCCGCGTGGCACGGCCATCTGCTGGAAGAAACACGTGCTTCTCAGACAAAACGCCGCGATACGGCACTCGTTCTAAATGGTTGCTAGCTAGACAAGACGCGCGAAGAGTATCTGGGGTGGGAGTTTCCGAGCTGTTTTGCATGGACAGCGTTCGTTCACGCGGCATCTGATCTGACGAGTTCGGCATGGCAAAGGCACCCAGCTGCAGAACTGTTCAAAACGAACGACCACCATGCATCGTGCAAGCTAACGTTCTTCTGAACCAGCGCGACGGCCGTGCCACACGGGGAAGCGGTGGTGCATGTACTATAGCAGGCCAGTAGCTGTCAGCAACAGCAGGAGAAGGCAGCGTCTCATCTCGCGTACTGTAGCAGATGTCGGGCCAATGGAGGCAGGTCAGCTGAGAATTGAGATCGCACAGCTGAATCAACGCCTGCAGAGCAGAAATAGTCAAGGAAGGCTATTAGCCTATTAGCAGGACGCTGTGTTAGGCAACCTGGTAGACACGTTCTCAAACAGCGCTTGTTTATCATGTGGCATGCGCTGACGATCGACCTATGGGAGCATGAACAAATTGGTAGAATCTGCAAGAAAACAAAATTCTGGTGAATCGGACCCCACTGAGCCGGTAAACACAAGACTCTGTCTCTGTATAGTACGATCATACGAGATTGCGAGTGACAACGAGCAACAGTGAATGACAGCAGTGGTAACCTCACATAGTCACAGCATCTGTCTGGTTATTCCTATTATCCTATACATCTTAAGGGCTCAAGGGCATAAGGCTCATGGGATCCATGGAAATGGAGATAGAAATCTACTCCGTTAACTATAGTGATTACTGATTAGTAGCTAGCTAGCTAGCTAACTGATCGTCAGAGCGAGGCTGAGAACCATCAGGGCATGTTTAGTTGGAGCCCTGGAAAAGTTGCCTGCGCAGGCAGCTCCACCCAAACACAGCCAACCAAAATCTCAGGATCTGAATCAAGATCAACCAGGCCCTCAGTCTTCGGCCCAGCTGGTTGCCGTCTTTCCAATCTTGTGGAGAGCCTTGACGACTTCCTCCGGGGTAACGTTCCCTGTCACCGTGACCTTGTTTATCTCCGTCTCAAGGTGATAGCTCTCCATATCTGCATGCGCATATGTGCTCGACTGTAAGCATGGTTAAGGATACAAGAGCTCAAAGTGAATGATTTATGTGGTATAGAAAGAACTGAGTTGACGGTTGGCTTACCGTCAATTGTTTTGATTGCCTTCTTAATGGCCTTGATGCACCTTTCACAGTGCATCCCAACCTTCAACTCCACAACCTGTGGCCATATGAACTTTCAGGCTTGCCTACTGTAAAGATGATAGATAAACTACTAGATGCACGTAATTCAGGTAATAAACAAAGTAGCCTACAAAAAACTTACAGCCATGGTTCACAGAGAGTAGAGCCGGAGAGTAGCTGAGTAGGAGACTACTGTACCAAAATCAAACAGCCTTCAAGTAGAGATGCCTGGCTCTCTGCATCCTGGAGCTTATTAGCTGCATCCGTACCTTCCTCTTTTCTGCAAGCAATTGCAACTTTTGTTCTCCACCGTGCAAAATAAAGCATGCACTTTGCAATAGTTCATGAAGTCAGGCACTTCACACTCTGAAAGGAGCACTGCAAACAGCCAAAGGCCCACTAAAGGAATAGGGTAGATAAGAATCTCCTTTTGAACTGTCCCCAGCCAATCGCTTCTAAAGTTACTGATTACATTAGCCGACTTGCATAATTGCTCTATAAGAGGCTCAAGCCTGCTGTAGAAATGGATGGGTGTAATAAAGTGCAGATTTTTTTTGTTAACCTGTACCTCTAAAATGTCAGTTCAAATATCTCTGAAATTATTGCCTATTCATTACATTTTCCTTTAAATATAAAACAGCTAAATTACTAACCAACCGAACAGGAATTTACAAAAAGGAAGAACAACGCCACAAAAAGCGATGTCAACTAAAACAGAAGGAGAACGACTTGGCTACTTCTAAATACCATAACTCAAATCATCCTTCAGTCGTGGGTTAGCTTTTGAGCTGGATGCTACCATTTGCCACGAATTCTGAATCAATTCCTTCCGTCTCCCCACATTCTATTACTGGTTGGGTGGGTGGGATCATTTCACCATCCACCGTTAGTTTGACATTGATACCATTCCCCTCTGCTACTCCATTAGAGACAGGCAATTCAGCCGTAACCACTGATCCAGGCCCATTCTCCACATCATCACCATCCATAAATTTCTCATAGAAGCTGCCGTTCTTCACATCATATAGGTTCCCCGTGCGCACCTCCTGTGCAAGCACACATGGCCAGCAGAATAACCACTGCGTGTAGTCTGTTAGTGATGCTGATCCAAAGCACCACCTGCTCCTGGGCAGCCCAAATGTCTTCCTCATCTGGATCCTCCAGAAACCACCATACAGCAGACCAAAGAAACACAACACAATCCCTGCAGAACCAATGAAATCACCAAGGACGTAGTTGTGGATTTTCATTGCTGTGATATTGAACACCCAGAATGGCGCAACACACAGAAGCAGGAAAATGACTGTGTGCACATACATGTTGCCAAATCCAAGCCGCTCCATGTTCCACCCGAACACACAGAACGTGCAGAGGAAAGAGAGGTAGCATGCAGTAGGGTCCTCGCTGCAGTCAAACAGCCCGCCAGCCCATGCGGGATTGCTCACCACAGTTCCTGTTTCAGGTGACTCAACTTGAACCATGTCTGATTCATTGGTTTCTTCATCAGACAGAGCATCATTGCCTCTGCCAAGAGGACTGTACACTGTGTATACTCCAGCAAAGACTGGTGCAGCGATGCCTAGAATGAAGAAGAAGTTGTCAGCAAAATCAGAGCGTGATCTGCTCGGGTAGCCCCAGTACAGGCCACAATCAGCATACTGGCATAAGCAAGTGATGTGGAGGAGGGCAACCACAAAGGATATGTGTGCTCGCTCATTTGGACGGCACATCCCATTCTTGCAGTAAACTTTCCTGAGCTTAGCAGCATCCTCTGGCAGCCACCGGCAGAGGAGAACAGTATGGTGGATGATATTTGGGTGCTCGTATAAGCTCATGAGGGTGAAGAGGGCGTTAAGTATTTGATTGTCAATCTCTATCCAGTAGTTTCTTAAGGGCTTGGAAGGGAATGCATCGTTCAGCAGTCCCAACATTAGTAAGACTAACATGCCACCAGCGGCACCAACACAGAGCAGCCATATTAGGAGAGCAACGTTCATAGGATGCTTAAGCCATTTCTTGCATAAAGTGAAAACTGAACTCCAGTTGATTGTTCTGATGAACTGAACATGAAGGCTGCCATGGACGCTGGTGGATGGAAGCTGAAATTTTATCAACGGGGAACAAAGATTGATCTTCTTTAGCCACTGCACCGAGGGAGTGGCTTCCAGGAAATCAAGAAGCCGTCGCTCATGACGGGCTGTACCTTGCATTGGTCCATCATGAAGAGCAGGAACTGTGACATGATATTCAGCCAGAATTGGTGAATCTGCATCTGAACATGGCACATCTTCTATATCATCTTCAGTGGCATTCCGAGCCATTTATGATGTGACTGAGGCTTGTGCAAGCACATAGGATGATTCACTCGAAGCGGTTTGGTATAGAAATTACAGCACCTGTTGCATACGAGAAAACAAAAGTGATTTAGAATTCTGGATTTCGGAATTCAGCGTATGGGCAAAATATAACTGCAAGACAACATCACAAATAGTGCATAGATCCTGAGAAAGGGGAAGCATGGAGTGGCCTCCGGCAAGGATGATAATATTCGGCTAGCAAACTACTACGTTCAGCAATTTCAGCAAATCAGTAGAGCATATGCTGTTCGACTTATCTTGGTTCTGTACACATATAAGAAGATAGGTCATAGGTACCAGTAAGATTGTAAGAATCGACATGACAATTGATGAATTACATGATATTGCCAAACAAAAGTGGGAAGATCTGCGAGTTACCTAAGGCATAGGCACAAAAAGAAGCGTACCTCTGGATCGGATGGAGTTAAACCAGAGCAAGGAATCCCCTCGAAATAATCAGAGGGAAAGCTGCTAGACTGATCAGGACTCGCAGGGCCGCACACTCGACTGAACCCGCAAGCAGCTTGCGATGAACTGGAGCTGTGGAGGGATCCTGGGCTTGGGGAAAAAAGCGAGCAGAGTAGCCAGTTGACCCTCAATTCTTGACGAATGGCACCGAACTTTAGTCCGGCGAAAGGAAGAAAGACTATTCCTTAGGACGGAAGCTTGCGACTTCAGTTCCATGGACGGCACAGGCTTTGTCAATTGTCAACTCCCCGTGAAACTGTGAAAGTACCCCGCGAAGAAAGCAGTTGGGCAGCTTCACACACCTGACGTCACTCGGAAGCAACGCGATGAAATGGTTCCTGCGCGCGTGTGGCCCAGGTAAACGCACCAGATGTGGTGACGAGCAGGTCAATCCTGGGAGGCGAGGTGCGTTGGGACCGGGTGTGCTCACGAAGCGATGTTCCCCGGTCAGACGAAACCAGCGGGCGTTGAAAGCAGGGAAAGCACCTGAATTCCACGGCCGTCTTCGCGCCGCCGTGCTTACGCGAGTCCACCGAGGCCGAGGCGGCACTGCAAGATTGACCGTCAGGGAGGTGGGCACGCGTCCTGAAGATCCACTGGTTCTCCACAGCTGGTCTGCTACTGTGACAAGGCATGGAAACAAGTGAGAGACACGGAGGAGATTGCGGGCAACGGGGCAAGACGGAGGAGAGAACGGGAGGATTTGGACAAATGCGCGCACCTCGAAGTCGAAGCCTCCGATTCTCGAACACTGCGCGGCGAATCTTGCCGGTCTCCGTCCTCAACTACCAGGGTCGCGGCGGATTCCCCAATGGCAGGGCAGTCGCGTTGGGGGGGGGGCTTCACCACGGGCTGGGGGGCCTGCTTTCTCTCCTGTCTTCGTTCTTTCACGATTTCTTAAAAAAGAGAAAAAAATCATATTACCCCTCTTAACTTTGGTGAATGTCCATTTTTCCTTCCCGAACTTCACCAAACACTCCTTTAAAACCGTTCATATTAGCTCTCCGATCCTGTTATAAGCGGTTTTGAAAGTAGTTTTGTCTTTATCTTTTTTATTTATTTTGGCTGAATCTTTAAAAAATCATAGTAAATTACAGAAAAATCATAAAATAAAAAATCTAATTTTGTTGGACTTCATATGAGTAGATCTACATAGTGAATATATAATATGGTATGCTTTAATACAAAGTTTTTACTGTGACTTTAGACCTATGCTTTTCTGTAATTAAATAAAATAATTTATAGTGCAGTTTTATGGTCCAATTATGGTAAATTTTTATGGTGGACTAATTATTGTATGCTTAAACTGTAGTAAAAATTTCATACTCATTGGATCATGTATAACTTAGTTATAGATTTTATTTAGGTGTATATGTCGGAGATCAAATACTGGGTTACCCATAGAGGTGGAGCCAATAACCATCAAACGTTGATGCTTCCAAACAGACAAGAACACAACTACACTTCTTGCCCGTACATCTGAAGGTTGGCTGCGCCTCGCCCGACCCCCAAGGGCTGGACTCCACCTCGCCCGACGCCTGGGGACAGGCCCCGCCTCGCCCGACGTCTAAGGGCTGGCTCCGCCTCGCCCGATGGCTAAGGACAGGCTCCGCCTCGCCCGACGTCCGAGGGCTGGCTTCGCCTCGTCCGACAACCGAGGGCAGGCTCTGCCTCGCCCCGACGTCTGAGGACAGGCTCCGCCTCGCCCGACGTCTGCAGGCAGGCTCCGACGTCTGCACCCTGCACCTTCATAATGACGAGCACAGGGTAAGACAGGACACTCAGGTCAACCGCAGTACCGAGAACCATACCCTGCACACCTACGGAAAAGTATCGTCAGGGTATGACGAGACGGGCGCTTCAAGCCCTTCCAGGCATGACAGAGCCCGAACAGTATTGTAGGCGTCGACTTTTATCTTACAGTGTTGTAGGCGCTGCCATCAACCCTCGGACGCGAATTCTGACATAAGCATACGACAATCACTATAATCCAAGAAGGAACTCACATCATCTACAGTAGCGGACGTATGGTCACTTCCTCGTCTGCTCCCCGTAGGTTCACAGCTTAGCACCTTGGCACGCCGCACCATCCGCCGGAGTAGGATGGGACGTGACCACTTGCTGAACGAAGCCAGAGCACGACCCTATCAGAATCAATGAATGTGCTATCCCTGGCACCGTCTGCCATGTCAGCAGGGCAGGCTCAAGGGAAAAGGAAGACCCGGCACCTTCGAAGGACCTTCTCTACCTCTGGTTTTTCTCTTTCTCCCATCTATAATCCCTGCTCCCCCTTGGTCTATAAAAGAGAGGGCAGGACACCCCA